TTCGGGAATTAAAAAAAAAAGGTGGTTATGAAATTCCTAATTTTTAAATGTGATTTTTTGTTGAAGAGAAAAATGATTTTTTTATACTATTTGTAAAAAAAAAAAAATTTGTAATTTTATTAGCGTAATAAGAAGATTTATTATGATTATTTAAAAAAATTTAACACTACACAATAAATTCATACTTTTAACCTGGTGACTGCAAATGTCTTTTGTGTAATAATAATGCATTTCCCATTCGAATAATAACGCCAAATTTTTAGGCATCATTCTTTCTTTTTCTTCTTTTTGCAGGTTTTACTTTTTTTCATTTTTGTCTTCTTCATTTTCTCAGATTCTTTTGTTGTTAGCAAGTTTTTTTTTTTTTTTTTTTTTTTTTTTTTTATTTTTGTTTTTTTTTTTGAGTTTTTTTTTTTTTTTTTGTATTATATTGAAGTTAAACTTATTCTTATAATTATATTTTTTATTAAATTTAATGCATATTTTTAACTAATAAAATCACAAACTAAATAAATATTAGATTACATGATTAAATTATAAAAAAAAAAGTCATTGCATGACCACACAGATTGTGCGACTCCTCAAAATCTGTGCGAAGACCCCACATTGTGCGGAGTCTCCACACAGACCGTGCGGTGAGTCCGCACATCGTGTGAAGCAACAGCATCAAGTGCGGAGTTGCTCCGCACTGTACAGAGTGGGGAGATATTAAATTTCTTAATTGCTGTATAAAAAAATAAATAAATAACTGAATATTGTAATTTTATTTCATATCATAATAGTAATCTTTCACTTTAATATATATTTTTAAGCTAATAAAGTAACAAATTAAAAAATTGTAGAAGGCAAATTTCAATTATTATATAATATTAAGTTGCATGATTTCTAGCAAAAAAAGTGTGCGGAGCAACTCCGCACTTGGGGAGACTCCACAAATTTTGTGCGGAGACTCTGTACATGGGGAGACTTAGTATATTTTTGTGCGAAATCTCAACACATGGGGGAAGTTTTTTTTTTTTGGTTGTATTATATTGAAGTTAAACTTATTCTTATAGTTATATTTTTTTATTAAATTTAACGCATATTTTTAACTAATAAAATAATAAAGTAAACAAATATTAGTTGCATGATTCAGCACAAAAAAAATAAAAAAATAAGGGATTCCGCACTTGTGCGAAGACTCCGCACAAATTGTGTGATTTGTGTGGAGACAGTATGAGCTCCACACAACACCTATAATTATTTTTTTGTTCATTTAAATTATTAAATTAGTAAATCAAACGAAATTAAAAATAAGTAAATGCATTTTGTTTACCTTTCTGTTACTAATTTTTTGATAAATTTGATTTGCATTCTTTTTTAGTGTATTTTTTATTAGCTTAATATTTATTATTAATGATTATTTTTAAAGTATTCTATATAAATAAACTAAAATAATTGTATATAAAAAAATGGACCAAAGAAAAGAAGACAAATGCATTTCAAGTAATGATACCGATTAAAAAAAATAAAAAAATCTCTCCGTATAGTTGGGAGAGATCAATTGATATCTCCGAACTGTGCAGAGAGACCAAATCTCTCCACATAGTGCGAAAAGATGGCATTGTTTAGAGAGGTTTTTTCTTTCAATGATGACAAAATTTACCAAAAGTGATATCAAAAGCTAAAAAAAATACAATCACAAAAAACACGTAGCATTGGAAAGTACGGACTCCAAGAATATGAATAAACCCAAATCAATTGTTTTGAGAAATAATTCGTCTCCTCCTTCTATGAACAAGAAGAAAATTCTCCCGATGTCACAATGCATAACCCCAAAGAATGACAAGGTTCCACCACACCAAATATAACGTTTGAATGATGTAAGTAATGAAACAAAGTGAAAATTGACAATCTACCTTGCAGAAAAAAGCTTTCCCCATGTGTCTCCAGCAAGTGATTTCAATTGCCTTTTTTTTTTTTTTTTAGTTTATTCTTCTTCTTTTTTTCTCTATGGTTTTCTTCAGCTTCAAACAATCAAACTATTTGGTTATTTATTTTTTTTAATTTACCATATTTTTTCACCTATTTAACTAACCACATTGAGGAGATAACAATGAGCTAGAACTACTATTTATCTTTTAACAACAGAAATGAAAATCAAAAAACCCTTGTAAAACAAAATAAAATCGGGAATAATATCCTCTAAAAAATCTACCTAGAACCACACAGTAAAATCAAACCAACATACATTCAATTCATAGCAACAATCTATATTTACTTACCAAAAACCTTTATTTCAATAATTCTTTCGATTGTTCTATAATGGAAAGCCTCTGTAAAAGAAAACAAAAATAAATGGCTAGTTCTAGAATGTCAACCATCGAGAAGACGAAATCAAAGAAAAACAAAATAGAAAAAAGAGAAGAAGAAATGAATACAAGAAAGGAGAAGTTGTACAGTCGTGGAGAATGAATGAAATAAGCATGGGAGGTTGCTTTGAGAAATGGAGGAAGCTAGACAGTTGCGTGAAGAGAAGTGATGTGTGATGGAAATAAGAAGACAAAAAAAAAAAAAAAAAAGTCATTCTGTATTTTGTACAGTAACTGATTCATTCATTATTCAATCAATAGTGTCATCTCCTTCCTCTTTTTAATAGAGGTTAGACAATTCAAGAAACCAATTCAGAGGGCGGTCATGTTCTTAATGAACAAGAAAATGAAATTTGATCAATATAAAATGTACGCCTAATTCAATGACTCTAATAAAGCCAAATATTAATGTACGGCTACAATGTGATTAAAATCTAAGTCCATCCGGACTTACTCTAGTATGTAGAGATAAAATAAGTAGATATCAAACATTTTTCATTTACATGGTTTTAAAAGCCGATTGTGAGGCGTTGAGAATTAGCCTTGGGGTGTGAACATTTTAGAGTATTAATGAGACTTTCGCCTCTACTGATTGAGGCTCAAGCCTCTATGTGCACGCATTGCACCATGAAAGGCATGCGCTTTTTTTTTTTCCTTAGCTTTTTTTTATTAGAAGATGCCCTATAAATTTTATTTTCGACCTCCTAACCCAAGTCGTCTGCGTCCCCCCCCTGCTTGCACAAGTGTATGCGTCAATCAGACGACATAATAAAACGATGCCGTTCTACACTATTGAGGACTAAAAAATGTCAGATTATTCATCACATTATATTCAGTATTGATAACAAGTTTTGCAACAATGAGTCAACAATAAAATTAGAAATAGAAAATACTTTAAAAAATTTTGAATAACTGAAAAAATAAATAAATAAAATCCAACGGGAACTGAATTTTAACAGAAAATAAAATCAAGGGAGTAACGATACTCTTTTTCCTTCGTTCAAGTTTTGCCCATATAATTTTCTTGACAAGGTTTCAACAAGAAACGTTTTATTAATCTAATTATTTTTAAACTCTTTTTTCCTTTCTTTAGTATTTTTTTGCCCTATCGAATTTTTGCCAACAAAGTTTTTAACTCAAGAATTATTGTGTAAATAGTTATTAAAAAGGGAGTATTGTAAATTAATTATTATTTATGATGACCATTGTACCCGTAGCCCTAATTGTAGCCTACAAATATAGAACATTGAGTTTCAATAAAACGCACACAAATTTATTGATTTCTCTATTCTAGATCTTGTCTTTTTCTCTCAAGTTTATAACAAAGGAAAGCTACTTAAATTAAAAATAAAAATAAATCTCAAAACCCCTTGTTTATCGGATATAAAATTAGAAGCACAAGATTATCGTAACAGCATGAGTTGACTAGTAATTTTGGTGACTCCTAATTAATACCAGGTTGTTGCACCTTTTCAAATGAATGAGGAAAGGTGCATCAACCCCTTCTTAATATGGTCTAGTAGTCCTTCTGAAACAAGATCGTACACCTTCTCATTCTATTGACTTCATAATGATAGCATCTCAAAAAGTTAAAATATCTCCAAGAGCCTCTTTATTAGTCTCGACTTCTTTATTTTAGAGAGTCGGTCCTCATTTTGTGGAGTCCAACAAAATCTTTATGCACAAAAAGAAAAATAAAGAATGGATACGGCTATAGAGAGCCAAATCTATACAAATTTAACGCTTTCATACATTGTTTCACAACTTCTTATGCATTTCTCAAGAGGGAAACCAATTTAAAAAAAAAAAAAAACAAAAAAAGAGTAATTGATCGATAATTGCTTATGAAAAAAGCGAAATAAAGAAAATTATAAGAGATTGTTGAACTTGTATGAATAGTCTTACAATTTATTTTTTAGAATTTTCTTAAGATCCTTGTGTATATTATATATTTTAATAATACGTATCAACCTTTCAAACAAACCGACCTTAGCTCAGTTGGTAGAGCGGAGGACTGTAGTTGGGATATCCTGTTAGCCATCCTTAGGTCGCTGGTTCGAATCCGGCAGGTCGGATTTTTCTTAAACAATTTTTTGTGCATAATTAGAAAGCATTTTTAAATTCACGAACTCTCTATTTTTAATTCTTTCTCATTGTTAATTAATATATGTACTTTTAGATGTTAATGGCCAATAAAAATCAAGCCCATGTTTGGTCAAGATTAAAATCAGTTGTTTAGTAGATTTTGATTAAAAAAAATGATGAAACGTGTGGTTGATAAATTGTGGATCCCATGAAATACGTGGTTAAAATTGATTGTTGACTTTGACAAAAATCTAGATTTTTTATTTTTATCGAACAGGGGATAAATATGGTTCGAATAATTCAATAAACAGTTTAGATTTACTTTGTGATATTATATGTAATATTATTGAAATCTCATAACTTTGATGGATGTGTGAATGTATCTTGATATCTATTTTCTTAGAAGAAAAGACAAGCATGAGATTTGAAATGTAGATTGTGGGAATGGAATCAAAATGACAATAATTAACAACTGCCCAAGTGGAATTTTTCATCTGGATTTAGATGTTCATTTTAGTGCAAAAGTGAGCATCATGTTCTTGGCACTTTATAAACTCAAGGCATCAAAACATGGCTGAAAAGATATATATAGCCATCAGGTTCTGAATGGCGGATATATATTTGTATACACCAGATAATCGTCGATTTACTGCCATGAGTGCATCTGGCAATGATCAAGAAGTGTACCCAGGTTTTCTTGGAACAAGCAGGCATTCAAGCCAAGATCGAGGCAAGATCATTTCTGAAGCTAAAGGAATCCGCAATTTTCTTTGGAGATGTGTAGGCAACAATAGTCAATATACAGATTCTTCAAATGGCAGGCGGCATCCTTTTCGTGCTAGTATATCTGAGACTGAGAGATCTCCAAGAGGGAAGAGAGCATTTCTTTGTGGAGTGAGTTATAAAGGACAGAAGTTCAAGCTCAAAGGAGCTATAAATGATGTGCGTAGCATGAAAGATTTACTTGTTAAACAATTCAGTTTTCCAGATGATTCCATTCTCATTCTATCAGGTATATATCATCAGTTTCTCAGTCTATTTGCAGTGTAAACAATGTCATAAGAATGAAATTCTTGGCATGAATCAATAGCAATTGTGTACTTACAGGTTGTTAAACCACCTTAATTAAAGCGCAGGAGGGGGGATTTATTTATTTAAATATCATTGTGCATGCACAATTCTTTTCTCCATCATGACTCCCTAACAAATTTCATAAATGGGTGGCAACGAAAACTGAATCTAGATATGTGTTGGGATCTGATACAATGTTAGACCACCTTATCGAATTCGGTTCAAGGAATTCGATAACCGAATTCGATAAGGTGGCTCAACAAGTTACTGATGTCCGTCTAAATTCATCAAGGCATGTTCTGCGTCTCATTCTACAGTTTTTGTTGGTTTTTTAGGAGGTTCAATTTATGTAAAACTTATGTATGTCTAGTCTTCCTTTTATACACAAATTGGGGTTCCCACTTAAACCCTCATCCTGTTGACGGACTTCTGTTAAAAAATAAATAAATAAATCTGGAAAGCCTAACTGCCATTCTAATTCTCACGATGATGATAGAATTCTCCAAACAAAACATCTCAAAAAATTTCATCCGGTTGTTGTGACAATATCATTTGAAATGTGTTTGCCTTATAGACCTTATGTGCTAAGCAGTGGATATCATAGATAAATTAGTATAGATAACAAGTAATTTCTATGTTCTCTTATTATTTCTCTGTTCACTTATTGAGCCGAATATGTAGATTCCGTCAAATGAAATTTCTATGCTTGAAAATGAGTGACAAAATTGGAAACATTTTGCAGAAGAGGAGCCATATATGTATCCAACAAGGAAAAATATTGAAGGTGGTTTTAAATGGCTGACAAGGGACCTGCAATTTGGTGACTCTGTGGTGTTCTACTTTTCAGGGCATGGCTTACGACAACTTGATTTTGACAGGGATGAGAAAGATGGATTTCATAAAACAATATGCCCTGTTGATTTTCAAACTGAAGGAATGATTTTTGATAATCACATAAATGAAACCATTGTTAGACCACTCCAGCAAGGTGTCACACTTCACACGATAGTTGATTCTTGTCACAGTGGAACCGTCCTCGACTTACCCCTAGTGTATAGCAAAAACGAGTAAGTGTTTTTCTTATAACTTTGAGCTCATCTTAATTCTTACCTATCTCTCTTCAAACCTGTTCAATTGAGTACATATTTAAGGAGGCTTCTTTCAGTTCATGCAAAAACATGTCGACTCTCTTAACATTCTAATTCTTATTTTCGATGCAATTATCTGGTGGACATTTTCATTTAATGGCCCTGCACTAAGTACCATAAAGAATAGTAGGTTTACATATGCTTATGACTTGTTTCATGCTAATTGGTACCCTATTATTTCAATCATACTGCTGCTTTTTTTCAAGTCTATTTAGTAGATTGAGCCAATATCATGGCATTTGCAATCTTGAATGAAAAAGTAATAGTACATTAGTGAACGTAGATTATTGTAAAAGTCAGCTTCAAGTTTCTTGATAAACCTTATATGCAAAAATGAGTTTTTGCCAGGATCAGAAGAAAGGATTGGAGATTTTAGACATAAAACTAAATTCACTCGCTTACTTTCTTTGCATGCTCAGGTATGTAAAAAACATTGTCTTGATATAACTTCATTGTTGCTCGTTTTGGGTTTTCATCAGAGAAAAGTGGGACGATAATCGACCTCTATCAGGAGCTCCTAAAGGTACAAATGGTGGAAAGGCTATATGTTTCAGTGCTTGTGAGGATTATCAACAGGCTGCAGACACATCTGTTAGTACCTTTTTCCTCTCATTTCTTCTTCCCGGGATCACCAGCTGGCTGCCATCAGCCAATCACATGAAATCTCTAACAGCTAAAGCTTTCACACGATGTGGTTCAACGAGATATTAAAGGAGGCAAACGTCGTGAGGTTTTGCTGTCATCCATTTGTGAAAATTGTTCATGTGTCATACTATGATGCGAAAATGAATCCGTCTTGCACGTGAAGGGCATGTTGAATCCCATTTCTAACGGTTTAAACTTTTAGTACAGCACATGAACAATATAATAGCAACTTTTCCGCTTCTCTTGCAGGCCCTCTCTCCAGAGAAAGCTATGACTGGTGCCATGACGTACACATTTGTAAAAGCTGTAAAAGATGCGATTACAAACAATCAAATAATAAGTTATCGTGGGATACTTGACTCTATGAACAAGACACTTGACAAGGACAACATAGCAGGATGTCTCCATCCTAGAATTTCTCGACTCTTTCAACGCAAGATCTTTCAGGCATGTCCATCATTCAGTTAAATGTCTTTTCTAACTTACTATCTAGCAAGATTTTTAAGACGATTCGCATACATATTTCACAAAGGCCTGAAGTCAAAGTAGGAAATAACGTAGTTGAAAGACGTGGAAATAAAGGTCAAATATGAAATACAGCAGGTGATAGTTACAGTATCTAGTTATATGATATAATCCCATCTAGATCCTAAGCTTCAGTTTCCTGTGAAATTAGACCTTTCAACTTTACAAGATTTTGATAATTTTCTGATCATGTGGCAGAACAGATATTCTGTTTCCTAAGTGAATAAATATGGCTTAGCCACCAATATCACATATTTTGATTTTACCACAGTTTCTCATGAAAAAAGAAAAGAGCCTATTAATTTTGAGATCGGCTTGTCCTAATTTATTTTCGAGGTCACGACACTTATTAGTTCGATAAAATAATTTCTGAAGAAGATGTAGGAACTTTGTCATGGTTGTTACATCATGTGCAGGAACCGCTGTTATCATCATCCGAAGAGTTCAATATCAACACAGAGTTCAAACTCTAGTATTCCAAGTGGAATATAGATTTCTTGAGACTGATAATATTCACTGGATTATATACATTCTCAAGGGATCACTCCAGCATCTAAATAAACATCATACTACTAATAACAATCTACAGGCTGTCCTATGTTTCTTGCAAACAATTTTGCACCAGAAGCTGATGTTGTTCCTCAACTTTCATAAATGTAATAAAACAAATGTTCCTATTAATGACATGATCTATGTAAAAGAAAGTCTGCAGCAATTAAATAAGAAAGATTTCTAAGCTTTTTATTTCATGTCTTCTCAATGTTATATGTCGGTTTAATCAGTAACGGAACAAGAAACGAAAATCGTGAATCAATTCCACGTATACACTGTCTATCTTTAGGACAAAATGTACATAACACGAGTGTTGTATTAAGGATGATGCTAAGATGTATGCGTAGTCATACTAAGAAATGGGTGTATACACCAACAAGTTGTGGTGACGCCAATTGAAGCGATCTTGGTAGAATCTGTAAAAGAGGGAATGCTAGACAAAAACTAACTTGATAGTCACTAAGAATCTAGACATTAAAAATATTTTATTAGATAAAAAAACGAATATAACATAGTGATGGAAGAGAATTCATGTAGCCTTTGTTGTTGTTATAGTGCTCGCAGTTCTTCAGAATATAAATTCTTATGGAATTCTGCACATACAGTTCATATTGTATACTCAATCGAGCTAATGTTCTCATAAAACTTTTCTTTACTTTAACCTAGAAAGATCATCAGAAGCATCAGATAATGATCAAGAGACAGACAGAGGTTCTCAGGGAACAAGCAAACGTTTGAGCCAAAGGCAAGACAAGATCATTTCTGATGCTAAAGGGATCCGCCATTTTTATTCTTTTTTTATTTTTATTTTTTTTTGGGGAGAAGTTAGGAAAATGAGTCTATATAATCCCACATTGAATAAAGATGAAAAATATGGACCAATTTATAAAAAAATTGACTACTCCTCTTAATAATGTTGATCTTTTAAGATGCAATCCTAACATAGAATAAGAGGTTATTAAGCTTAACGAACAATTCGATCCGATTAAGACTTAAAAAAATGAGAACACGAATTTCAAGTTTAGTTTGCTCAAAATGTGCCATCATCTTGCGGGGCATGTTAAAGAATATAATCCCACATCGAATAAAGACGAAAAATATAGACCAATTTATAACAGTTTAGACTTCTCTTCTAAATAAAGCTGACCTTTTAAGATGAAACTTCAAGTCTTAACAATATATAGCTTCCCCAAGTAGCAGATCATTAGTGTCAGCATATCCAGGGAGACCTCCAAGAGTGAAGAGACCATTTCTTCATGGACTGAGTTACAAGAAGCAGAAGTTTAGGGTCAAAGGAGCTTTCAAGTCTTAACAATATATAGCTTCCCCAAGTAGCAGATCATTAGTGTCAGCATATCCAGGGAGACCTCCAAGAGTGAAGAGACCATTTCTTCATGCACTGAGTTACAAGAAGCAGAAGTTTAGGGTCAAAGGAGCTTTCAATGGTGTTCGTTGTTTGGTTGTTTTCTGAGCCCTAAATTAAAGATTTTTCCAAGATTTCAGCGACAACCGATTAATTTCTCTGTCTACTCAGCAATAAAGTCGTGTAACCCCTAGGTTGATATGTTCATTGAACTTGCAAGTTTGTAACATATTTAAGAACCAGAAGGGGTTTCTACCCACCCCCTGCTCTCCGGGTTTGTGAATCAGAAGAACGGGGAAGCACAAGTTGAGGCACTTGCGATGCGTGTGGGGGTTTTTTTTTTTTTTTTTTTTTTTGTCATTTTCCCTTTTTCTTTTGATATTTTCTTCATTTCTATGTTGTTGGTTTCTTCTCCATTTTCCTTATTTTCCCACAGTTTTGTGGAGATAAAGAGACTGTTAACTGACGAAAATACTCCTAAAATCAGAGATGTGACACGATTATTAGGGATCCACGTGCAACAAAAATGAAGATTTTAGATGTAGGTGCTAGAAAAGCTTGTCTTGCTACATATTTTTAGTTGGCTTTATATGGACCTAGTTTACTTCGACTTGTGTGTGTCATGTCTTCTTCTTATACGGAGATTGAGGTCCATCCGTCCATGCCAATCTCCCTGTCGGATAAGTGGATTTCTATTTGGAAAAGGCGAAATGCTCTCACAGTAATAATAGAATTCTCCTAAGAAAAATATCTCAAAATTTCATTTGGTTCTTGTAACAATATCATTTGAAATGTTTTTTGAGACAAAAGATAAGGTCTATGAGGTTTTCCAGAGATTATCTCTTGCAAGTAAATAGGCTAACATGATAGGCAGTGGATACCATGTTAATGAGATAACAACTAATTTTCTCCGTTCTCTTAATTAAACACTCGATCGAATCTTCTACAGAATGAGCTGAAGACTGGTTCTATTCGTGAATGTGGACCATGGCTAAATACATCTCCAGTGTAATATTTTGTTAAATGTCTAAACTGAAAATTTTGCAAAAGAGGACTCTCATAAACCTCCAACAAGGAAGAATATCGAAGATGGTTTTATTTGGCTGACAAGGTGATAAATGTATTTTGTACACTTATCCAAACCAATAAATTGGAGTATTTGTTAATGATTTGAATGAGTTATAGCTTAATTATATATTAAATATATTTGTTAGATTGAACTCAATGCAAATTGGTGAAATTGGAAGAAATGAATGAAAAAGGAGAAAAAATGATAGAAATCCAAAGTATGGGCACTGGAGTGTAAATATCCAATGGTTGTTTTGGACCACAAAAGATACTTTGAAGATTGATAAGAGTCAATTGAATGCAAATTGAAGTCAAAAAGCAATGGGATATTCTTGAATGAAGATTAAATCCTAGGAAAAAATAATTCTCGTTCATTCTTCCATTGTTACAAGGCAATCTCGATATATACAGTAGAAAGACACGTAAAAAGAAATAAATTAAGTAAGGAAAAGAAATTAAATTCTAAGAAAATTAAATCTCCCAAAATATGGTAGGATAGACTAGGCAATTTTGGAAACTTTCCAACACACCCCCTCAAGCTGGTTTAAAGATATCTTCCATAGCCAGCTTGCTAATTAAGTTTTCAAACTGTTTCTTTGGTAGACCCTTTGTAAGTATGTCTACTACTTGATTAGATGTAGAAATATAGGGCATACAAATTACCCCACTATCTATTTTCTCCTTGGTAAAATGTTTGTCCACCTCCACATGTTTTGTTCAGTCGTGATGAACTGAATTGTGGGCAATAGCTATTGCAGCCCTATCATCACAATACAGTTTCATTGGTAATGAATTCATAATTTTCAACTCTTCCAACAATCTTTTAATCCATAGTGCTTCGCAAATTCCATGAGCAATTGCTCTAAAATTAGCCTTTGCACTACTCATTGCCACCACCCTTTATTTTTTGCTGCGCCATGTCACCAAATTTCCTCCAACAAATGTACAGTAACCAGAAGTTGATCTTCTATCAATGACACTTCCAGCCCAATCTGCATCAGTGTATATTTCAACTTGTAAATTTCCATATCCTCCAAATAAAAGGCCTTTACCTGGTGTCCCCTTTAGGTACCTTAAAAATTTGTAAACGGCTTCAAAATGTTCAGGTCCTGATGAGTGCATAAACTGGCATACCACACTTGTTGCAAAGGCTATGTTAGGCCATGTATGAGAGAGAGATAGGAGTTTCCCTACCAATCTTTGGTATTGTTCTCTGTTGATTACTTCTTCAGGGTTAGCGGGTTGGAGTATTAGATTCGGCTCTATGGGTGTCTCTGCAGCTTTACACCTTAATAAACCTATTTCTCCAAGTAAATCAAGAATATATTTTCGGTGAAAAACGAATATACCTTTTTTTGACCTTGCAAACTCCATACCAAGGAAGTACTTCAAGTTACCTAAGTCTTTGATCTTAAACTCCTTAGCAAGAATCTTCTTTAATCTCTCGATTTCATTGCTATCATCTCCTGTCAAAATAATATCATCAACATAAACAATAAGTATAGCTACTTTGTCTCCGTCAGTGTGTCTATAGAACATAGTGTGGTCAGCTTGGCCTTGATTGTAGCCGTGACTCTTTATCACCCTTCCAAAGCGTTCAAACCAAGCTCTTGAAGATTGCTTGAGTCCATACAAGGACTTCCTCAATCCGCAAACCTTCCCTTTGCCTCCTCTGTTTTTAAATCCCGGTGGTAGATCCATAAAAACTTCCTCCTCTAGATCTCCATGGATCAGAATTTTCAATCAAATTCGTAACTTTAAATAATTAAATCAATTTCAAGGACACAAGCCCAATTGATACAAGTACCACCGTTATTCAATTTAACTGGCAGAGACAATTAAACACGGTCCAATGAGCCAAAGCCTAAAGAATTAATACACTAACTACAATGGCCCAAAAAGCAACAAATATTAAATCCAACAAGTCCAAGTCCAAAATCACAATCCAATTAAAAAAATAATTCGGCCCAAATAGATAACACAAGGCCACTGTAGAACTCACAGACACACGAAGGAGAAATTCACGATGAAAAGATGTAACTCCCAGCGACGGCTAAGAAGGAACTCCAGGCGACGAGAGAAGACTTCTCCAACCAAAACCCAAGGCTAGACGGCGGAAATTTGGGACCCAAGCACGGGTGATGGCGAACCTTCAGATGGCGCCGAAAGCGAAAAACTGCGACGGTGACTACGGAGATACCAATTGCACTGAACTAAGAGGTGACTACACGACACCGTCGGGAACTCGGGGCCTAATTGCAGGTGGTGCTGGAAACGTGAGCGCCCTCTACTAACTACGAGGAACACAGAATGAAGCACGCTCAAGTAAGTCAGTTTTGTGGTTCTGATGCCATCTTTTAATGAGAGAGTATATTGTAAAAATAATTCTCATTATCCACATAGGTTCATAGCAGTATTTATATTTACAGTAGAACAAAAAAAAGGAAAGAATGAATAAAGTAAGAAAGAAATATTAAATGCTAATTTTAAGGAAACTAAATCTCCTAGAATATGGCAGATTTGGAAGCTTTCCAACAAAAACATATGTAAATATGCCAATTAGTCTTGATTAAATATAATTTATTCACCACAAGCATTATTAACACCACATTTCAAGCTAATGTAATTGATTTGACCACATAAATCGAGGAATTGATTTGAACATATGCATTATTTACACCAAGTTTTAAGCCAAGTGAATTGATTTGACCACATAATTGAAGGTATTGATTGGATCATTTTTATGACAACATGTCATTTA